AGAACCATGATTTGAACCTATATATTCTGGCTCCAGAGCTCATGAGCTTACCTTTATCCTCTACTGCCTCATAGTTTATTACCACTCTGTCTACCCTGTGTCTGTCTACCACATGTGCCTATTTAGATTTAAGTTGATTAAAATACATGAGCATGGTGGCTCACAACTGTAATCCCATCTCTTTGGGAAGCTGAGGTGGGTGGATCTCTTAAGGTCGGGAGTTCGAGACCAATCTGAGCAACATAGTGAAACCCCATCTCTACAAAAAAAAAAAAAAAATAGAAAAATTAGCTGGGCATAGTCACCTGTACCTATGGTCCCAGCTACTCGGGAGGGTGAGGTGGGAGAATTGCTTGAGCCTGGGAGGCAGAGGTTGCAATGAGCTGAGATTTCACCATTGCACTCCAGTTTGGGTGACAGAGCAAGGCTCTGTCTCCGAAAAAAAATTCCACTATTTGCCTTTGCAGTATTTCAACTAGGGTCTGGGTTAAGTAAGATTTTTTTTTTTTGGACTGACCTCAGGCCTTTTGTATAAAATTTTTTAATAAAAAAATTGATTAAGATGAAACCCAATTTAAAACTCAGTTCTTCATTTGCAACATTCCAAGCATTCAACGACCACTTGTGACCAGTAGCTATCATAGTGGACCATGCAGATATAGAATGGGTTCATCACCTTAGAAAGTCCTGTTGGGTTGCATTACTCTAAAAATTCTTTCCACCCAAATAAGATTTAATGATGGCAATTCAGTTTCTTTGCTTCACATTCTAAGAATCGATCATTCTGAGACCCACAGTCCGTGATTCTACGATTCTGAGATTTCTCCCCTGTTCTAACGTTCAGTGGCTTTTTCACTGAATGTTAGGGAGAGCCCAAAGGAGGCCCTTTATGTTTTGAGGGACAAACTTGGGGGCTGGCTGTACTTTTCCATCCTCACAGTCTTTCCAGAGAGAGAAGTGACCTCAGCTTCAGGTCCTGCTGGCAGCCAAGGACGGATTTTCAGCAGTCTCCAGAGCAAATAAAGGCAAAAGGAAGGGACTTGATGTACGGAACAGGAGGCTGTGGCAGCCAGGAGGGGGCTAGGAGTGTCTACATTTGATGGCCACCAAGCCAAGGGAAATATGTCTCCTTTTTCTCCCCTGGCCCTGGGCATTTTCCTTCTCAGCAACTCAGGCCAGTTCAAGGCCAACTGACCCCCATTCCGGTGGCCTCCTGGGAGGGGGTAGCTGCCAAGGGAAATAGCGTGCAGAGGTAGAGACATGCCAGTGGTGCGTTAGGGTCACATAGGTCCTCACCCTACCCCTGCCACCCACTCACTGCTATCAGCTGTTGGCAGGTTTCTTCCTCTAGGCCTTCTCGTCTGTACTATTGGGCAGAAAGACATGCCTTGAGCCCCCTGTGGCGTGCTGGATTATGAAAACACCCTAAAAATGATAAATGTATGCATTATCAAAGACTAAAGAAATACAAAGGAGGAGGCCAGGTGCGGTGGCTCATGCCTGTAATCCCAGCACTTTGGGAGACTGAGGCAGGTGGATCACGAGATCAGGAGTTCAAGACCAGTCTGACCAATATGGTGAGACCCAGTTTCTACTACAAATACAAAAATTAGCTGGGCATGGTGGCACACTACTGTAGTCCCAGCTACTCAGGAGGCTGAGGCAGGAGAATCCCTTGAACCTGGAAAGTGGAGGTTGCAGTGAGCGGAGATTGTGCCACTGCACTCCATCCAGCCTGGGGGACAGAGTGAGAGTCTGTCTCAAAAAAAAAAAAAGACAAAAGAGGGAGTTTTCATTTAATATTGGTCATTTATATGAAGGGAATTTAAATTTTTCCGTGGCACACTACACCTAGCTTTGATTGGCAAAGGATCACTGCTGGTAAGTTCTGAATGCTGGGTTTTGACATTGTGATCTGACCTTGCTGGAGTGACTGTTATAACCCATTAGCTTTGCAGGATGGACGCAGGCCTCTTTAGAGAGTTTAGAGAGCCTCAGAGAGGTATCTCATGGGGAAGCAGGGAGTAAGGCTGTGCATCTGGAATAGTTCAGCTGCTTCCCTTCCCTCCCATCTCATCGTCTGGAGGAAAAGCGCTCTGCGGCTGGTCGTGTAGCACCGGGCACTGGGCAGGACCCACATTTTGTGTTTGTTTTTACAGTTTTCTTCCAAAACTTTGGAGTAGGATTCCAAGAGTTTGTGTTCTGTTCTTAAGAGTCTCTCTGTATTTCTCCCCCACTACCACCTGTCTGAGCATAGTTCCTATTAGGCTCACCCCCAACTCCATGAGTGAGAACGCTTGCCGATTTTGAGAGGGCCTGATGTTGCCTCCCTCTCAACCTCAGACTCACCATCAGGACAGTGGGATTGAGAACCCTTCCATTGCCTGTCTGCCTACTTCCCAGCGTTGTCAGAAAGCTCCAGGGGACCGTGTTATTGACAGTCCTTTAGAAATTATAAAAGCACTGTAAGACTTAGAGTTATTTTTCTCTTCTGTCTGGAACAGCAGAGATGGGGGTGGCAGAGAGGGTGAGTGTGCAACTGGGAAAGGCGTTCAGGAAGACAGGGCGGCAAGGCCGACGGAAGACCAGGAAACCCTTCCCCTGCTCACAGAGGGAAGCACGCTTTCTATGCTCACAGACTCAGGGAAATGTCTGCCTTCCTTTCCTGTCTTTCTAATCTGAAGCTTACTACATTTCCACTCCTAGCTAGGCTAGTTCTTCAATGACGTGACTTCCCTGTCATTGTAGCTCAGAGAGAATGACTTTTGTTTTGTTTTAGCTGCTATTTCACTTTGATCCTTCGACTTCAAACTATCTCAGACAAGTCTTTCCTTCATGTTTTCTTTTCTGGTCCATTTGTCCCAAGCCAGATACAGGAGTTATTTATCTTGTGTCTTCCAAAGAGGAAGCAAGAAGGGAGATTTTTCCACTTAAGCCTGGGGTAACAAGTGAACAACTGTGCGGGGGGTAACATTCCACAAGTCACCTCAAAAGGGGAGACTAGACTTCTCTGGAAGTTGGGGTCATTGTGAAGCAATACCAAACCCCCGGGTCCTTTAAATTTCTGTTAATTTTATGCACTCCATGCAATAGGGGGTGAGGTTTCGTTTCTCTTTTAGCCCAAGAAAGGACTATTTTGAAGCTGACTCTTCCTCTGCCTGTTTCTGCTTCCCAAATGCTATAGTCCAAGTGAAGACAGATGATCCCAGAGGAGACGATGTGTGCCGAGACCAAAATGTGCTTAAGATCATTTTAAGGACCCAGGCTGCCACCTCAAAGTTCACCTAGTCTACACCTTTCAATTCATATGGTCTAGCGAGCCGGAAGGACTTAACCAGTCCATCAATCAAGATACTATTGTGGTAGAACAAGGACCCCTGGCATTTAATTTCAAGCTGAGTGTTTTTCTCCATGATGTCAGGTTAGCTCTCAACACCATTTGGTCACTTGAGAAGTCTTCGAAGAAATAAAGGATGATGAACCTGACAGGGAGGTTTTGGGAGAAAAACGAGGGAAGACATGGCCACTGTTGCCCCTGATTGGAAGGCTGTTTGTGGGTACAGAGAGCAGGTTTGTTCTTTGTGGCTGTAGGAGAGACAGGGTAGACAGATGAGGAGGTTTGAGGGAGGCAGATTTAGATGGGTAAAAGGAAGAACTTTCTAAAATCACTTGAGAATGAAAATCCTTCTAGTTAGCATGAGGAGTGAAATGTTTCCACCACAGAGCCTCTGTTAGGAATGGCATTTTGGTTTTGAATCCTCAGAGGAGATTCTGTTCCAACATCCCTTATACTCATGAGAGTATTAGAGTCTAGAACTTGGCATTTAGAGAATGAGGTCTTTTTTTTTTTTAATTTATTTTTATTATTATTATTATTTTTTAAATATGGGGTTTCACCATGTTGGCCAGGCTGGTTTTGAACTCCTGACCTCAGGTGATCCACCCACCTCAGCCTCCCAAAGTGCTAGGATTACAGGCGTGAGCCACCGCGCCTGGCTTCTTAACAGTTGCCAGAATAGGGGTATTTTCTAGATCTTAGCTAACATCCCCTCTGCAACACATGGAAGCATCTGGATGGTTTCCCTGCAGGACCTAAAGAAGTGCTGTCCCTTCTGGGTAGAATAGAGAAAAATGTGGCCACCCTCAAGTTTCCATGAGTTCCATTCCAAGACTATTGTTCTTTGTTTTAGAATGTGGATCTCATTGTCTCAAATTGGCGAGAAGTTGCTGCCTATTAACTTCTCCCACTGCAGAGGGAGTAGGAAGGACGGGGAGGAGGCGACAGAGGAGGAAGAGGAGAGACTGGGTCTAGGGGAAAATATAATCTTAGAATATCAGAGATTGTAGGGGCCTTGAAGATATCTGGTTTGGCATTGCCCAAACTGGGCTAATTAGCCCATCACCTTAGTTGAATCACTTTTTTAAAACTTTAATAAGGCCAGACGTGGTGGCTCACACCTGTAATCCAAGCACTTTGGAGGCCAAGACAGGCGGATCACCTGAGGTCAGGAGTTCAAGACCAGCCTGACCAACATGGTGAAACCCCATATTTAAAAAACAAACAAACAAACAAACTTTAATAAATGTATTACAAAAGCAGATTTTATATCATTACCATAAATGGAAAACCCTGTGTACCTCTGTCATAAATAGAAGGAAACTGTAAAAGCAAACACATTAAAAAAAAAACAAGTTTATTCAGTTCCAGCTGGATCTGATTTCCTGTGGAAGCTCTGGGCTGGAGGCCTGTTTTCTCTTTGTTAAAAAAGAGAGAGAAATAAGTATGAAGGAGGTGTTCAAGACATCTTAGCACCAAACTGAGACTTTCTTCTCGTATCATCAGAATTGAAAGACTATTAAATGGAACCAACCTTCTCTCGTGTTTTCCACTATCATTTAACTTGTACCATCTAGCATTATCTTGCATGTATGAGGAATTCAGAAGAAACTCTCCATCAGGAAATCTTACCCTCGCTCAACTCTCAATCTCTCCTCTCCAGAGCATTCCCAGCACCATGAGGGCCTGGATCTTCTTTCTCCTTTGCCTGGCCGGGAGGGCCTTGGCAGCGCCTGTAAGTACCTAAAGATACCTTCTTTGCTTTTACTCCTGCTGCCAGCTCCAGGGGTTCTAAGCCTGCCAGCCCTGGATGCTGAGAGGGAACAGGGACTTCCCTTCCCCATCTCAAGTTAGTTGTCTTTTTTTTTTTTTTTTGAGACAGAGTTTCGCTCTTGTTACCCAGGCTGGAGTGCAATGGCGCGATCTCGGCTCACCGCAACCTCCGCCTCCTGGGTTCAGGCAATTCTCCTGCCTCAGCCTCCTGAGTAGCTGGGATTACAGGCACGCGCCACCATGCCCAGCTAATGTTTTGTATTTTTAGTAGAGACGGGGTTTCACCATGTTGACCAGGGTGGTCTCCATCTCTTGACCTCGTGATCCACCCGCCTCGGCCTCCCAAAGTGCTGGGATTACAGGCGTGAGCCACCGCACCCGGCCTTTTTTTTTTTTTTTTCTTTCTCTTATGTTAATAAGCTCAGGAGAAAAACTGGGATCAGGACCATTGGGTGGTGGTTTCAGAGCAGAGAGCATTCCATGTAATGTTAAGATAAGCTTTTTAGTCAGAACTTGTAGCAATGGATGAGGATTGCTTTAGAAGGAAATGACCTCTTTGTCACATGAGGAATTAAAGCAGGCAGGAGACGGGGTGTGGGGGATTGCTGGTGGGGATGGTGTCAGGAGAGATTCAAGCCATAGAGAGAGGATCGTGTTGGTTTCTGAAACAGTGAGGGTTGTTTGGTTGTAAGCAACCCTTCAATCTGACTAAATTCGGGGAGGAGGGAGGACATGGGGAAAGATACAGAGGTAGATTATAATATTAAAGGCCTTGCGGAGGACTGGAAAAGGGCAGCTCTAGGCTTTGGGAGCTAAGAACTAATGGATAGTCTCTGAGATGTTGCTATCTGAATGAATCAACTCCAGCAATTTTCACATTTGACAGAATGTGCTAAGAAGGTTTTTAAAAATTCAAAAAATGGGCCGGGCGCGGTGGCTCACGCCTGTAATCCCAACACTTTGGGAGGTGAAGGTGGGTGGATCACAAGGTCAGGAGCTCGAGACCAGCCTGGCCAAGATGTTGAAATCCTGTCTTTAAAGAAAAAAAATACTTTTTTAAAGTAAAAATTAAAACAAAAAAATTAAAAAAATATCCAAAAAATGAGGCAGGGTGGGGTGGCTCACGCCTGTAATCCCAGCACTTTGAGAGGCCAAGGCAGGTGGATCACGAGGTCAGGAGTTCAAGACCAGCCTGGCCAACATGGTGAAACCCCATCTCTACTAAAATTACAAAAATTAGCGGGCCTTGATGGTGGGTGCCTGTAATCCCAGCTACTTGGAGGCTGAGGCAGAGAACTGCTTGAACCCGGGAGGTGGAGATTGCAGTGAGCTGAGAGCTGAGATTGTACCATTAAACTCCAGCCTGGGCAACAGAGCAAGACTCTGTCTCAAAAAAAAAAAAAAAAAAAAAAAAAAAAAAAGAAGAAAGAAAGAAAGAAAAGAAAAAGTTAGCTGAGCATAGTGGCAGGCACCTGTAATTCCAGCTACTTGGGAGTCTGAGGCAGATAATTGCTTGAACCCGGGAGGTGGAGGCTGCAGTGAGCAGAGATTGTGCCACTGCACTCTAACCTGGGTGACAGAGTGAGACTCTGTCTCAGATAAAAAAAAATTAAAAAACATGAGAGCCAATCTGGCTGAGCTTGGGTCCTGAGCTGGCTTCTTGGCCAGGGGAGAGTGAGGCTCCTTGATTGACAGACAGTTCCTCCAAGCATTTCGTGCAGAGGGCATGAGTAGTTATCTGCAGCTCATCTGGAAGCCTTCACCAGGAGAGGAGGAGGAAACAGGGCAGGCAAAAAGTGAAATTTCTTTCAACCTGTGATCCCCTTATCCTCTCTTCACTAAGAAGTGGGAGTGATGGCAGACCCTGGCAGTCTTGATCAGGCTGCTGGTAGATGGAGGCAAAAGTTTCTTAAACTTGGCATTAAGTTTTGAAGGAGCCTCAGCCAGCTAGGGGCCTCAAAGTTGCGTGTTTTCTTGTTTCCTCCTACTCCAAGTTAAAATGGCAAGAAAAATGGCCTAAAATAATAATAGTATCACACTGTGAGAAAGATGATGACATCTGTTAAAATTCACAGTGTCATCCCCTCTGGATGTCAGTTTTCCCATCTGTAAAGTGAGGGAATTGGTCTGGATCAGTGATTTTCAGACTTTATAAGAATTCAAAGCAGCAAAAATACTTTTCCAAGCTAAATGTTAGGTAGACAGCTCAGATACAAAATAGGTAAAATGGGAGCTGCTTGAGTGTCCCACGGTGCTCATGTGATTGGCTGCTTCTTTGTCCTCTCCCACCCGTGACAGTCCGTGAGGCACAGCTTTGGGGATCTCCAGGGAGCTGCTCTCCTGGCTCCCCCAGCCTGTGTTCCAGACCACAGGCACTTTGGAGGTGAAGCTGGCCTTATTCCTGACCCCTCTGAATCCCACTTTCTCTTTCCAGCAGCAAGAAGCCCTGCCTGATGAGACAGAGGTGGTAGAAGAAACTATGGCCGAGGTGACTAAGGTAGGTGAGCAGTGACTACAGCCCCTTAGCCCCTCTCTACCCGGATCTGTGCCCTGAGAAGTTAGGGCAGGTGCTGCAGGTCTCAGTGCTAGAGTGGGGCGTTCATCTCCATGTACACATAGCATAGATGCAAACCCTGAGTATCCCCCACATCCTGACACACTCCTGAATGATTCCCAAACCTTCAATGGAACCCTATGTTTGGGAGACAGGACCTTGAAATTTTTGTTTTTTAAGCTGTAAAATAATTTTTCTTCCATGATTATCCACAGTTTCCCCAAACATAAAACAGAGGAAAAGGGAGCTGCTTGGGTGTGACTGGTCAGGGTGGAGGTTGACACCCCCTTGTGAACCTCAAATATCTGAACTAGGTCTCAGACAATTTAGAAAGTTTATTTTAATTTTTAAAAAGATGAGGTTTCAACATGATGGCCAGGCTGGTCTTGAACTCCTGACCTCAGGTGATCCACCCACCTTGGCCTCCCAAAGTGCTAGGATTCCAGGAGTGAGCCACCGCACCTGGCCTAGAAAGTTTATTTTGCCAAGGTTAAGGACGCACCTGTGACACAGCCTCAGGAAGTTCTGAGACTGTGCCCACGGTGATCGGGAGTACAGTTTGCTTTTATGCATTTTGGGGAGGCATAAGACATCTATCAATATGTCTAAGTTTTACATTGGTTGGGTTGGCTAAGGCAAGACAACTCAAGAAGTGGGGGCTTGCAGGTTAGGAGTAGATAAGAGACAATTGGTTGCATTCTTTTGAGTCCTTGTTCAGCCTTCCACTAAATACACAATTTAATCTGGCTCAGTGAATCTGCATTTTTCTATAAGTAACAGGGCAGAGGAAGCAATTAGATAAGGGTTTGTCTCATGTGAGCCTCAGAAGGATGACTGCACAGAATGGGAGGCGGATTTGTCCTATGCAGTTCTGTTTGACCTTTCCCCTTAGCTTAGTGATTTTGGATTCCCAAGATATATTTTCCTTTCACACTCTCTTTCCTTAACATCCCTGGTGGTCTCTAAGGCAGCTCAACAGAATCCCAGGCATACTGTAAAACACAGCAGGTCTATAGATTAAATCTGGATTCCCAACCCTGCATTTGTGCTTTCTGTGACCTGAAATCCTTCAGGTACCCTTATGAGTCTGGGATGGAGTGGGGACCATTTTACCCATTCTTCTCCCTCAGTTCCAGGTATCTGTGGGAGCCAACCCTGTCCAGGTGGAAGTAGGAGAATTTGACGAAGGGGCGGAGGAAACCGAAGAGGAGGTGGTGGCTGAAAGTATGTCCCTTCCCTGTGACTTGGCACATCCAAGCTGCCCTTGGTTGCCTGGGGGTCTGGGGCATGAGGACAGCCTACGTGAGGACCTACCATTTCCAGTGGAAATGCAGGGTGGGGTCCTCAGTGGGCTATGGAGAAAACACCGCTTTGACTTAACAACTGAGAAACTGTGGTACTCAGTCCCCTGGGATCCGGGCAAGATCGGTTTACAGGCGTTCCATGTGCGTGGCAGGAAGGAGAGTTCTCCAGCTGGAAATGGCCTTCTCCCCTCATAGCTCTTTGCCCTAGTCCAAAGCTGAGTTTCCCATTCCCATGGAGGTCGCTGGTCACATCTGGTTGCTGAAATCCCTCGCGGGTTCTGTCTCAGCTCGTGCCCCACAGAGGAGCAGATCTGAGAGAAGAGATCAGGAACTTGCACACTCATAAGCGCATTCTATTTCACACAGCCCAAGGCAACGAGGTCCTGAGGAAACAAAACCTGACATAATTCATACCACGCTGTCCATGTGTTAGTGCCCTGGGAGAGCAATGACCTAGGGGCTCTGGCTCCAGCTCTAAGTGCAAGGCATTTGTACCCAGGGGGTTAAGAGCATGGACTTTGGAAGAAGTCCAACCAAGCTTTGAACCTGGGCTTCTCCACGCCAGCTTGCTTAACTCCTCAGAGCCTCAGTTTCTCATCTCTGACATGGGGCTGATGAAGATGGCAGACCCACATCCCAGGGCTGTCAGGAGGTTTTCAGACAAGCTGAGTAGGCGTCCGATAAAGGATTATAATTTTTTTTTTTTTTTTTTGAGACGGAGTTTCGCTCTTGTTACCCAGGCTGGAGTGCAATGGTGCGATCTCCGCTCACTGCAACCTCCGCCTCCTGGGTTCAGGCAATTGTCCTGCCTCAGCCTCCTGAGTAGCTGGGATTACAGGCACACGCCACCATGCCCAGCTAATTTTATTGTATTTTTAGTAGAGACGGGGTTTTACCATGCTGACCAAGATGGTCTCGATCTCTTGACCTCGTGATCCACTTGCCTCGGACTCCCAAAGTGCTGGGATTACAGGCTTGAGCCACCGCGCCTGGCCTAAAGGATTATTAAAATACTCAAAATAAGCATGGCAAGGAAAAGGCCACATTAGGCTCTCATCCTGAGGGGATAGCTAACGGTGTTTGATCTAGCTGGGCACAGGGCTTCTCCTGGAACAGGGGGACATCTACTGAATCATGTTCCTTCCTGCCTCCTCGCCCACCTCATCCGGTGTTTACCAGGCTCTATTGTCCAGCGTGGGCCTTGGGGCTTTTCTCCCTTTTCCTTTACAGCCACTTAAGTCTGTTTTGTTGGGCCTCACAGCTTCCTGGCTCACTGTCAACAGCTGACTTTCTAAGCCATTCTAGAAAGCTTATTCTGGAATCCAGAAATGCCTCACTGTGACTGTCCGGTGGAAACCCAGGAACACAATGGGTGCTTCAATCTTTGGGGAAGCCATATAGCATCTAGTGTTTCTGGGTCCCAGACTGAGCCTCCAGCCCCCAAAAAGTGCCTGACCGCTATCTCAAAATAAACCTCTAATCCCTAGACTGAACCAGCCGCTCCCTAAATGCTGACTGCTAGGCTCAGTGCAAGAGCAGGCAGGACTCAGAGCTGCCCGAAGCCCAGAGTAGGGGCCACAGCCAGGGACTTTCAGCCCTGAGATCTGTCCAGGTAGGATGGGGGTAGAAGTGCTAATCCAGGTGAGGCTAACTCCTTGTCTTTCTGTCCTACAGACCCCTGCCAGAACCACCACTGCAAACATGGCAAGGTGTGCGAGCTGGATGAGAACAACACACCCATGTGCGTGTGCCAGGACCCCACCAGCTGCCCAGCCCCCATTGGCGAGTTTGAGAAGGTGAGGGTTGAGGGACAGGGACGGGGGTAGGGATTGGGCACTTCAGAATACAGAGTGTCTGCTCAGGAAACTGTTGGCTTGGCGGTTCTATGGGCCAGCGCCAGTCTCAGAAGTCCCCTTCCTAGACGTAATCCCAGCAGGAAAAAGGGGATGAGTCAGAGTGCGCTGCCTGGCAGCAACCAGCCAGACTTGAAACAGCATCATCAGGTTACAAGCCCTATGCCAGACTCTTACGGCTAAAAGCATAAGAGCATCAGCAAAGAATCAGGTCCAAAAATGTGAGTTCTGGGGTCATACTGAAGGTTGACTTCAAACCTCATCTCCCTCACTTGTTAGCTGTGAGATCTCAGCTAAACTGACGAACCTTTTCAAGTCTCAGTTTTTTCACGTCCAAAGAGAGGATAAAAATAGTTCTTAACTCACAGGACTATTGTGGGGATGTGTCCGAAAATGCTTGGTACATAACAAGTATCTAATAAATGCTACTTATTTTTAAATTATCTCTCAAATATGTCCATTCTGTCTCCAGTAGGACCCATCCATTCATCTATCCATCCGTTCAGCCACCCATTCATCCATCCATCCATCCATCCATCCATCCATCTATCCAAGTAAATACTTTTTGAGTGCCCGCTCATGCCCACCATCATGCTAGTGGCCAGCTAGTCCATGGCGACAAATCTGGGGCCAGTATTGTTCCTACAGCCTCCCATCTGGCTTCTCCATCTTCAGTCTCTCCAGAGACAACATAGCCTCTGATCTCCACATTGCAGCATCGTTGTTAACATTTTCCTCCTCCTCACCCCACCCCACTCCCAATGCCCAGTCACCAGGGCCTGTCATTTCTCCCTCTGCAGTAACATATAAGCTATACTGAGTAAGTAACAGGGAGGATGTTCAACTCAGGTTCCCCTCCTCCTAACAGTTATTTATTGCCACTGCCCTCGTCCAGCCCTCAACATCTCTGCTTGGCCACCCCTATGTTCAGAGGTTCACTAGGATGCCAGTGGCACCGCATACAGTTGTACCCACAGCTAAGGTTTAGTAAAGTGACATATTTAGGATACACAGCTGGATCATAAGGGAAAAAGACACAGGCAGGTTCTGGAGGAATCTGGGCGGAGACTGACTTGCTTACTCCCTTGAGGGGTCATTAGAGTGCATTCTTATCCCAGCTACAAAGATGTAGCCACTAGGCCGGGCGCGGTGGCTCAAGCCTGTAATCCCAGCACTTTGGGAGGCCGAGGCGGGCGGATCACGAGGTCAAGAGATCGAGACCATCCTGGTCAACATGGTGAAACCCCGTCTCTACTAAAAATACAAAAAATTAGCTGGGCATGGTGGCGCGTGCCTGTAATCCCAGCTACTCAGGAGGCTGAGGCAGGAGAATTGCCTGAACCCAGGAGGCGGAGGTTGCAGTGAGCCGAGATCGCGCCATTGCACTCCAGCCTCGCGCCATTGCACTCCAGCCTGGGTAACAAGAGCGAAACTCCGTCTCAAAAAAAAAAAAAAAAAAAAAAAAAAGATGTAGCCACATGTGAGTGATGTTTCTGTCCAGGGAAGCTCATTAGAAACTCAACACCCAAAGTTTTAATTGGAGGCTGCTCACATAGGCGCCCTCTGCCTAGCATGCACCAGAATTTCAGACTCCCAGAAGAAAAGCAGATGTTCCGCAAAAACCGGATTGTTAGGACAAACAGTCCAGGCACAGCGAGCCACTCTTATCAGTTAGGGAAGGATTTATAACAGTGCAGGGAACTGTTTCTCAGCTAAGTTCCCAGACGCGAGCCACCGGCCAACCTTACACGCAGGGCTTTTTAAGGATAACAATTCCAGGCCTGTTCTGTTAACTCTTCTTTGAACATCTTGTTTCTCTCCCATTCCTGTCTTTTTTTTTTTTTTTTAAAGACGGGGTTTCACCATGTTGGTCAGGCTGGTCTTGAACTCCCGATCTCAGGTGATCCACCCACCTTGGCCTCCAAAGTGCTTGGATTACAGGCATGAGCCATCACGCCCGGCCCCATTTCTGTCTTTAACTTTCTCTTCAGATATCTTCCAAGATTTGTTTTTTCCCCAGTATCTCAGACCTGACTCAGTCATGCCTCTCAGAGACCATCAATGGCTCTCAGCCTGGGCTGAGCACTGGCCTGGGAACCCAAAGGGTGGATTTGTGTCCCAGCCCTACCACTAACTCACTGTATGACCTTGGGCTAATGACATTCCTTGCTTAACCCTCAGTGTCCCCATCTCTGAAATGGACAAGGATAGTGGTATCAGTGAAGGGCTTTGGGAATGAAGGAGGGGGTGCTCTGTCCTTTGCCAACAGGTGTGCAGCAATGACAACAAGACCTTCGACTCTTCCTGCCACTTCTTTGCCACAAAGTGCACCCTGGAGGGCACCAAGAAGGGTCACAAGCTCCACCTGGACTACATCGGGCCTTGCAAATGTGAGTTTCCTTGGACCTTTCCAGACTCCCGTCTCGGGGAGAGAGGCCTGAGCAGGCACTGACGCTAGCTCTGCCACCTCCATGCTGGGTGATCTTGGGCAAATCTCTTTCCCTTTCCAAGTCTCAGCATTCCCATTTATAAAATGAGGTAATTGTCTATGAGTCGGCTCCTCTCCACTCCGTGAGTTCAGGGCACTTTCTGGGGAAGGAGTGAGCGACTAGGGAAGGTCAACGTCAGGGAGGATTTCTAGAGTCTCTCACTAGCATGTGAGACAACCACATCTCATTTCTCTAATGAGGAAGAAGTTCTTTTCTAAGGCTAAATTGAATCTTTCTTGCTTCAACACTGTAAAGCAAAAATGATGTTTGGCCTGGGCCTACAAACTGTTTTGAAAGTATCTGAATTTGAATGCTTTAAAATAAGGGCATGGCTGTTGGTGTGCTTTGGGCCCTGTTACTCGGTACCATCATATCCTCGCCCTTTTACTCCATTACATTCCTATCTGCCCTCCGAAGAGAGAGGATAAGCACCCTCTTCCAGAACCCTGAGAGTCAGTTGTTTGGGGAGGGATGCCAGGGTGCTGTCTGACCTTTGGTTAGTGACCCCAGCTGTAGACTCAGTGGGCCCAAATGCCTTGTTTAGCATCCTTGGGGGTCATGGGAGACCCCCAAGACCACACCTGCTCCCCCTCCAAGGCAACATCCACACTGTGGGTCTTGTATATTCTGGCACCCGATGGCACTGAGGAGAGCCATTCACCTGCCTCAGGTGTGCAGGGTGCAGAAAAGTACATAGTCGTGGGGCTCCAGGTATGCAATTGACAAGGTACAGTGTAGGGAAGGAGGGTTGGGGGAAAAGGCTTTGGTAGGAAGTCCCTGGGCAGTGAGACTAGAGTGTCTGTCTTTTTTTTTTTGAGACAGAATTTTGCTCTTGTTGCCCATGGCGCAATCTCGGCTCACCCTAACCTCCACCTCCCAGGTTCAAGCAATTCTCCTGCCTTAGCCTCCTGAGTTGCTGGGATTACAGCACTTTGGGAGGCTGAGTAGGGAGGATCACTTGAGCTCAGAAGTTAGAGACCAGCTTGAGCAACATGGCGGAATTTTGTCTCTGGAAAAAATCCAAAAATTAGCTGGGTGTGTTGTCATGTGCCTGTGGTCCCAGCTATGCAGGAGGCTGGGGAGGGAGGATTGCTTGAGCCCAGAGGGCTAAGGCTGCAGTGAGCCGTGATTGTGCCATGGCACTTCAGCCTGGGTGACAGAGTAAGACCCTGTCTCAAAACAAAAACAAAAGAAAAAGAAAAGCATGGACTTGGATGAAATCTTCAGGTCCGACACTTGGGATTCTAAGTTCCAAAGACCAGGATGGAATCATTTCTAAGAAAGTTCGGGTGATTCCTCTATTCCCCACTCCCTGCCAAGCTGGGCCTGTGGATAGATGTGACTCCTCAGCCTCCCACCTTCAAACACCTGACAGTGGTTGACATGAACAGCGTGTGCCCAGCATCAGCTGGGATCACACCCAAAGCCCAGCACCCAGAAAGCTGCAGGAGCCATCAGGAGCCATCCGTTTCCCTGAGCAGAGCAGATCAGGCTGAGAAAGCAGCAGCCATGCCTTTGCACAATGCATTTTTAGAGCGTTCTTCTCCTGCATAATCTCCTCTGCTCATTGTGAAGAAACTGTGGCCCAGAGAAGTTGAGCCACTGTGCCAAGGCCAGCGGTGGAGGTGTTGTGGGTGGGGGTCCCGGGATGGGGAGCACGACCCAGGCAGCTCGTTGGTGCTCGGCAGGGAGAGTCAGTGTCTGCACTGACCACTCTCGTGTTTGGAACCTAGACATCCCCCCTTGCCTGGACTCTGAACTGACCGAATTCCCCCTGCGCATGCGGGACTGGCTCAAGAACGTCCTGGTCACCCTGTATGAGAGGGATGAGGACAACAACCTTCTGACTGAGAAGCAGAAGCTGCGGGTAAGTGGGCTGTTCCCAGCTGTCCCAGGGTGTCTCTCTGGCCCTGCTGGCCCCATGCTGGTGGAAGATCCGGTCCCATTCCTAGAACTGGCCCCCAGCTGTGGGGCAGCCTCCTACTCTGGAGCGTGCATTTACCCCTGAGTCCCAGGACACACACTTCTTTTCCCGCTTTTGAAGGCTGGTAGTGCATATTCACATCTTAGAGGCTCTGAGAAGTCCTGCAGCAGAGACCTGCTCCCTCTGTTTAACCCAGCGTTCAACAAAAGAGACACAAAGAACCCTGTTCTAGCCGGGCGCGGTGGCTCAAGCCTGTAATCCCAGCACTTTGGGAGGCTGAGGCGGGTGGATCATGAGGTCGAGAGATTGAGACCATCCTGGTCAACATGGTGAAACCCCGTCTCTACTAAAAATACAAAAAATTAGCTGGGCATGGTGGCTCGTGCCTGTAATCCCAGCTACTCAGGAGGCTGAGGCAGGAGAATTGCCTGAACCCAGGAGGCGGAGGTTGCGGTGAGCCGAGATCGCGCCATTGCACTCCAGCCTGGGTAACAAGAGCGAAACTCTGCCTCAAAAAAAAAAAAAAAAAAAAAAAAAAAGAATCCTGTTCCTTTTTTCCTTTGGAGTCTGTGGATCTTAAACTTTAATGGCATATTATGTATCCCAAGATGCTGATAAAATGCAGATTCCTTGGCCCCCACCTCAGGCCACTGAAGCAAGGCCTAGGAAGCTGCATTCTAAACACTGCCTAGGTGATTTATTTATTTATTTATTTTTGAGACAAAGTCTCACCTGTTGCCCAGGCTGGAGTGCAGTGGTGTGATCTCGGCTCACTGCAACCTCTGCCTCCTGGGTTCAAGTGATTCTCCTGCCTCAGCCTCCCGAGTAGCTGGGATTACAGGTGTGCACCGCCATGCCCAGCTAATTTTTGTATTTTTAGTAGAGACAGGGTTTCACTATGTTGGCCAGGCTGGTCTCAAACTCCTGACCACAGATGATCCGCCTGCCTTAGCCTCCTAAAGTGCTGGAATTACAGGTGTGAGCCACTGCACGCCTTCCCCAGGTGATTTTGATGTGGGTAGCTATATGTAGAATTCTTTGAGATCATCCCAGGCTTCTGTTTTTGTGAATAAGATGCTGGTCCCCATATATGACTCCTCCTTCCCCTCACTGTGAGCTTTGGTCTGGCAAGTCTCTGTCTGCTCTGGTCTCCTGGCAGGGGTGGGAGGGCCCGACTGGTCCAGACAATCTCCATGTACCTCTTGTCACACACGGTCCTTACTCCCTCAGGTGAAGAAGATCCATGAGAATGAGAAGCGCCTGGAGGCAGGAGACCACCCTGTGGAGCTGCTGGCCCGGGACTTCGAAAAGAACTACAACATGTACATCTTTCCTGTGCACTGGCAGTTCGGCCAGCTGGACCAGCACCCCATTGACGGGTAAGACCTCCGGCCCTGGAGTGGACAGAGTCGTGGCTCAAGGCTGGCAGGTGCACTAACTATACGGCCAGAAAGCCTCTCAGCAGCCTATGCTTCTCCCAGCCCCGGCATCCACAGTTTGCCTGGGGAATGGAGCAGAAGGATGAGGCATCTGGAGAAAAGATGTGGACCTGGGAGAAAAAAAGCAACAAGACACTCTCATGCCAAGGTGAAAGTCAGTGGGAGCTCAACATAGCTCCATAATCCTGCACGTACTAGGCTTGGATATCTGGATAATGAGGGAGTGTGAGGAAGGAGTACCAGGCTCCGGGGGTGGCAGGGGCCAAGGTGGGGTCAGCCACACACTCCCTGTCCTTCAGCACAATATCCAGGGGGCAGAGCAGCCACCTGGCACTGTCTAAGCCCCTTCCTGAGGCCCAGCCCCAACAGAGCCCAACTGACCCTGTAAGTTATCCAAAAAAGCCCATCTATTTTGCAAGCCCCCGGTTCGAGGGCTCTTGTCCCTTGTCCAAATGAGTTATGAGGCCCTGTGCGACTCCACTGCAGAACAGGCAGGCAACTGGCCAGGTAGTAAATATTTGTTGAGTGTACATTTTGTGCCCCGCGGTATTCCAGGCAGGGGATTGAACGGCAATCAGAGCTGGCATGGTCCTTGCCCTCGGGCTCATACTCTGTTCATACCCATCACTACCTTCTGAATGTCTCCTGTGGTGATGAAATGAGAGCCCCTCCTCAGCCTCAGATGGAGCCAGCCACACCTGCACCTTCCCAGTCGTTTTTACCTTGTCCTTGGGCTGGGGAAGCAGAGCATCACGCAGAGGGGAAGGGAAGGGCAGCCTTACTCACATACCCAGGGAACCTCGTCTCTAGGATGCTCACCCCTCGCTCTTAGTCCAGCCCATGTGTCTGGAGTCCGCCCACCCTGTCAGTGATCCTGAGGGCTGGGGTCTCCTGAGCTCTGGGAATCTCCCGGCCACTTCTCTCCCAGGCTCTTGCCATGGCTTCGATCCAACTGAGTCACTCGTTGTAGCAGGGAGGGGGAAAGTCAAGGGGGAACATCTGGAGCTCAGGCAAAGCAATTGGATCCCATGGCAACAGAGGGCCTGGAGGGCGGCTTCCAGATGGGGTACAAGGCTGCACATCTGGGAAAGTGCTCCAGCCTGGACAAGGGGACCCTCTTCCTCCACCTCCCGTCCCACAGCTGTAGGTGGCCTTGCCTGCTTTCCTGCCCCTCCCTGGGCCTTGGTTTTCCACCAGTACAATGAAGGGGAGGAAAGTGTTCTTATCAGTTCAAACATTGTGTGATTTCTTTGGTGACCTGGGTGGGGCTGGAATTTCTAAAAGTTAAGAAGACAACTGGAGTCACAGTGTTCCCTGGAGACCTTTGGCGGCAGGGTGGGGTGTGTTTTAGGGACAAGTAGTTGGGGGCTCTGGGGAACAAAGAAAAAATTATACACATGCTTTGGAGTCTAAGGGCAGCAAGGAGAAGAGGGAGGGAGGAGAGGGGGAGAGACACCCAGAGGGCTTCCCCCTTGGACATGACATGACACACAAGCTCTGTGAAGATGCTTAGATGACCTGTCAACCCTCACTGCCAATTCCAGTCCCTTCCCACATTCCTCCCCAGAAGGCAGCACTGTCACCAGATTGGTGTGTCTTTTTAGATCCTTTACTAGGCATTCATAGCTGTATAAATGTGTGTCCGCAGACAATATACAGGGTTGTGTCGTGCCAGATTTTCATCTACCCATAGCGGAAGTGCTGAATATTTTGATTTGAAGTTTCTGTGCCCCCAGTTCTCAGCCAATTAGAGAGTAATCAAATACACCAAAAAGACATTTGTTTTTGAGCCCATGAAACCTTAGGGCTGGAAGGGCCCTTAGTCATGATGGCCAACTCCTCCTCTTTGCTGGAAGGAGAAACTGAGGTTCCGAATGAGGCACTGCTGTTCTTTGGGTCTCAGAGCGGTCAGTGGCAGATGCTGGCTATTTTTTTCTGCTTTTTTTTTTTTTTTTACAAAATTTTTTTCTTTTTTGAGACGGGATTTCAGCATGTTGGCCAGGTTGGTCTTGAACTGCTGACCTCAGGTAATCCACCCGCCTCAGCCTCCCAAAGTGCTGGGATTAGAAGCGTGAGCCACCAAGCCCGGCTTTGTTCTGCTTTAAACATCCTTTCCCTCCATGCTCTGGGGCAGGCTAACTACCCGGCTGCCTCTCCAGGCCGGGCGCGGAGCTTTTTCATACCTCAGGCCCTCCCTTGCCTCCTTCCCTGCAGGTACCTCTCCCACACCGAGCTGGCCCCACTGCGCGCTCCCCTCATCCCCATGGAGCATTGCACCACCCGCTTTTTCGAGACCTGTGACCTGGACAATGACAAGTACATCGCTCTGGATGAATGGGCCGGCTGCTTCGGGATCAAGCAGAGTGAGTGAACAAAGGAGCAAGGGGCATGCGCAGAGGCACTGCTCCCTGGGTGCTGGGTGTTATCCCCCATTCTTCACTCTCGTTGGTCTGTCTGTCCTCTCTGCCTATCTCTGCTCTGTCCGCCTATTTGACTCCTGTCTCATGGCATCATCCTGATCCTTCTCTCTCCATCCGACTATCCCTCTCTCTTTCCCTTCCTCAAGCATTAGCGCTCACCCTGTGCCAAACACTATTTTGGGAACTGGCAGGAACACAGAAAGGAAACAGGAAGTGTAACTTGGCAGCATGTGTAAGAGACAGGGACAGGCCTGGGACAGGGAGAGTGAGATTGCTCCGTCACTGACTTCCCGGGTGATCTTGGATGGCCACTGAGACCCCTGCCCCTGGGGATGGGTGAGAGTCCACCGACTCCTTGGGACGTGGGTCATCATCGACACAGCCTTATTTTTAACCCTGCTCTTTTTTTGCTTTGCAGAGGATATCGACAAGGATCTTGTGATCTAAATCCACTCCTTCCGCAGTACCGGATTCTCTCTCTTTAACCCTCCCCTTTCTGTTTCCCCCAATGTTTAAAATGTTTGGATGGTTTGTTGTTCTGCCTGGGGACAAGGTGCTAACATAGATTTCAGTGAATACATTAACGGTGCTAAAAATGAAAACTCTAACCCGAGACATGACATTCTTAGTTGTGACTTAACTATTAAGGCCTTTTGCACACTCATTAACAGTCCCATTTTTCTCTTGCCACTTGTAGCTTCGCCCATTGTCTTATTGGCATATGGGCGGACACGGATCTGCTGGGCTCTGCCTTAAACACACATTGCAGCTTCAATTTTTCTCTTTAGTATTCTGTTTGAAACTAATACTCACCATGTCAGATTCAGTGTTCATTTCATTTCAGGGTATTGGCTGCCTGTGGGCTTCCTCAGGTGGCCTGGAGGTGGGCAAAGGGAAGTAACAGACACATGATGTTGCCAAAGATGTTTCTGGGACTAGAGAGAGGCTCGGGGGAGGGAGAGATCCCTGCAGAACCCACCAACCGGAACATGGTTTGCCAGAGGCTGTGACTGAGAGAAAGATTCTGGGGCTGTGTTATGAAAATACAGAGATTCTCACATAAGCCTAGTTCTCACCATTTCCTCCTTTACCTTTCAGTGCAGCTTCTTTTCACGTTAGGCTGCTTGTTCAAACTTTTAGGAGCACGGACTGACAGTTCTCTGGGAAGTGGTCCACACATCCTGCAGGGCTTCTCCTCTGCCTTTTGGAGAATCAGGGCTCTTTTCAGGGGCTCTGGGGACTGGGAAGCTGTTTCAGCCAGGAAGACCAAAATCAACAGTGAGATGTAGAACGTTGTAAAATAGAAAAAGTGGAGTTGGTGAACTGGTTGTTTTTTCTCCCCACATTTGGATGACTGTCATAAGGTTTCTAGCATGTTCCTCTTTTTCTTCACCCTCCCTTTTTTTTTCTTCTATTAATCAAGAGAAACTTCAAAGTTAATGGGATGGTTGGATCTCACAGGCTGAGAACTCGTTCACCTCCAAGCATTTCATGAAAAAGCTGCTTCTTATTAATCATACAAACTCTCACCATGATGTGAAGAGTTTCATAAATCTTTCAAAATAAAAAGTAATGACTTAGAAACTGCCTTCCTGGGTGATTTGCATGTGTCTTAGTCTAAGTCACCTTATTATCCTGACACACAAACACACGAGCATGCATGTCTATACACGACTACAAAAATGCAAACCTTTGCAAACATATTATGCTTTTACACATACACTTGTACATACACACACCGGCATGTTTACACACAGGGAGTGTATGGTTCCTATGAGCACCAACTTAGCTGTTTTCATTTAATGATGTGTGGTTTAACCCTTTTTATCATTATACACCATTATCAGCACCAGACTGAGCAGCCATGTCCTTTCATTAATCATGGTCGTTCATTCATTCATTCACCAAATATTTATGATGTATCTACTCTGTACCGGGTCTCATGCCAAGCACTGGGGACACAGTGATGGCAAAGTCGGCAAAGCATTTGTTCTTTTGGACCTTAGAGACCAGGAGGAATATATGAAATAATGTCATGACCAAATATAAATTGCAAGATGTCACAGGTGCAATGAAGGGAGAGTAGGAGAGACCATGAGTGTGTGTCACCGGAGGACATGGCATTATTCTAGTGCTGCACTGTTCCCTATGGCAGCCACTACCCACATATAACTTTTTAAGATTTAAATTTAAATTAATTAACATTCAAAATGCAGTCTCCCAATCACACTAGCAACATTTCTTTCTTTTTTAAATTCTTTTTCTTTTTCTTTTCTTCTTCTTCTTCTTTTTTTTTTTTTTTTGTAAGACGGGTTTTCACCATGTTGGTCAGGCTGGTCTTGAACTCCCGACCTCAGGTGATCCACCTGCCTTGGCCTCCAAAGTGCTTGGATTACAGGCATGAGCCACCAGGCCCAGCCCCACGCTAGTAACATTTCAAGTGCTTCAGAGCCATGCATGATTAGTGGTTACCCTATTGAATTGTTCAGATGTATAACATTTTGATTTTTTTTTTTAAATTTTACTTCTTTTTCAAAAAATTTATTTTGAGTTAGATGTATAACATTTTCATCATCACAGAAAGTTCTATTGGACAGTGCTCTTCTAGATCATCATAAGACTACAGAGCACTTTTCAAAGCTCATGCATGTTCATCATGTTAGTGTCATATTTTTAGCTGGGGTTTTGAGACCTCCCTTGGAGACAGAGAAACAGACCCAAGAAATGTTCTCAATTGCAATGGGCCACATACCTAGACCTCCGGGTGTCATTTCCCTTCTCTTAAAGTTATGTTAAGATTCCTAAAATAAAACTCCTAAAAAATCAAATTGTATTCTGGTGTTCTCTTCTACACCATGGGAGGGAGAGCAGTAGGAAAGATGGCCCATTTGGTCCTGGCCTTTGAGGAATGCACACCTAGCACTAGTCTCATAATCTCTAGGAAGCTGCAGAGATGAATTAAAGTAAATTTCAGCATTCGCTCATTCAGTCATTCGGCAACATTCATCAGATATTTGCAAAGTGTTAGGGGGTTCATGAGTAGGCAGCGTGCATGGTCCTTGCTCTCCTGGAGCTTTCTAACATTCTGGCAGGCAGACCATACATAAGCTTGCAATACTGTTTCTGATAAAAACATGTGCTGTAAAGGAAATAAAGCAGAGAACTATCATGGAAAATGACTTGGACCAGGTGGTCCTTCAGGTAGGGTGGGAGAGGTGACAGTTGCCCTGTGGGCTGAATGATGCAGTCTGTGGCTAGGTCAGCCCCGGGCAGACCACATATAGAATGCACATTATGGTCACAGCAGCTCTGCCACCAACTTACTGAGGTTCAGGGAGCTTGGGTGACTTGGTCATGTGATGAGGCACTGAAAAAGGGGAGAACTGGAATCCGAAGCTTTCTCCCACATATCTGGATGTTTCCCTAGAGGGAGCAACACAGTTAAAAAAAAAAAAAAAAAAAGCCAGCATCAAAAAGCCATGATGCATTAATCAGCCCAGGGCCTGGGAGGACAGGGTAGGGCTGCTTGCCCTGCTGGCTTCAGCAAAATTAATCAGCTGAGTTAACAGGGACACTCAGAATCCAGACTCCTTAAGGGCAAAGCTTCCATATTCTCCTTCTATCTGTGCTTCTCCCCACTTTAAATCAAATTTTTGTAAAAATCCAAAAAAATTCACATTAAAAAATTGTATCATTACCTTAGGTGAAAAATTAGTATCATTTACCATAAACAGAAATGAATCTTTTTTTTTTTTTTTTTTTTTTTTTTTTTTTTTTGAGACGGAGTTTCGCTCTTGTTACCCAGGCTGGAGTGCAATGGCGCGATCTCGGCTCACCGCAACCTCCGCCTCCTGGGCTCAGGCAATTCTCCTGCCTCAGCCTCCTCAGTAGCTGGGATTACAGGCACGCGCCACCACGCCCAGCTAATTTTTTGTGTTTTTAGTAGAGACGGGGTTTCACCATGTTGACCAAGATGGTCTCGATCTCTTGACCTCGTGATCCACCCGCCTCGGCCTCCCAAAGTGCTGGGATTACAGGCTTGAGCCACCGCGCCCGGCCAGAAATGAATCTTAAAGATAAATATGGTAAAAATACAAATTCAATGAAAACGCAATGTTATGCAGTTATAAATATGCCTCATGCTTAAAGAATGCTGTGTTTCTTGTTAAAAGAAGAAATCTTAGAGTTTTGTTTTTGTTTTTGTTTTTGTTTTTGAGGCGGAGTCATGCTCTGTCTCCAGGCTGAAGTGCAGTGGCGCGACCTTAGCTCACGGCAACCTCTGTCTTCTGGGTTCAAGTGATTCTTCTGCCTCAGCCTCTCGAGAGCTGGGATTACAGGCACGCACCACCATGCCCAGCTAATTTTTGTATTTTTAGGAGAGAAGGGTTTCACCATGTTGGCCAGGATGGTTTCGATCTCTTGACCTTGTGATCCACCCGCCTTGGCCTCCCAAAGTGCTGGGATTACAGGAGTGAGCCACCACACCTGGTGAGATGTTCTTGTTGATAGAAAGACGGAAGGAGAATTGAGTTGTAATTAATTCAGTGTTAATGCCAAATTCATAACTCATCTAAAATCTTCTCCCGGACTGAAGCAGCGAGCATCCGTTCCTTCAGGCACTGATTCTTCATGGGAAAGTGTGGGTCCTTTGGAGATCATTCTGGCCCCCTCAACCCTTCATTGAGGAGGAGTTGGCCAGGCTCTTGATGAAGTTGGAGCCACCCAGGCCAAAGGGGCCAGAGAATGGAAGCAGCCCTCCCTCCACCCCTGCTACAGAACTGGATGAAGTCTCAGTTAGTCCAGTGACCCAACACTCTGAGCTTGTTTCCTCATCGGTAAAATTCCTCACAATAATGGTCCTCATAGATTGTTGTGTCTGGCGTAGAGAAAGCCAACAAATAATCATCGTAGTCACCATAGTAATTATCATCATCATCATCATCAACTACCACTCCCAACTTAAATGTGAGAAATCTGCTCTTCCTCACTGCCTAGACTGGTCCTTTATTCTTGGCTTTCCATGAGCTGTAAAACATTACGGTTTCTTCCAGACCACACTCCCTCTGTGAAGGGACTCAGGGCTGTCTCATTTCTGTTAGGCTGTACTGGGCTGGCTGGTGTCTGCACTGGTTTTGGCTACAGGACTGCAAGGGTTAAACACTTCCAGCTGGAAACAGAAAATAAGAGTACTCTAAGGATGCAAAGGAGTCCTGGATAGGGTGATAGGAATCAGGAACCTAATTTGCAGAACAGATGTGTGCATCTGGACAAGTGGCTACCCCACTAGGAGTTCAGTCTTGTCTTCTAAATATTGGTGGATGGGGAGCTGGCTGAGATGGTCCTATCTTCAGACACTCTGATCTCCTCTTCTCGCCTTCTGAATAGGCTGTCCTAGGGATGGGCAAACCTGGACTTTCCCAGGTCTTACAACCTGGTTTCCAGCTGGCCCCTCAGAGCCAGCAGGACCCAGTGGCCTCCTGGCTGAGCCACCAGCTGGAGAGGCGGCTGAGGAGGGTCAGAGCGCCCCCTGCTGGGGTTGAGAAGAAAAGCTCCTAGACCTCTGCAACACGTCTTGACATCCAATCAGGACCCACAGAGGCCAGCCCTCTCATTTCTCAGATGGGAGACAGGTTCAGAGGTTCAGAGATGCAGAAGATACTCCCTCAAGTAGGATTGCCAGACAAAACAAAAGACTCCTAGTTAAATTTGAATTTCAAGTAAGCAACAAATCATTTTTTTTAGTATACATATGTCCCATGCAACAATTAAGACATACTTCTGCTAAAAAAGTTGTTTGTTGGAAGTCTGAAATCTGAATTTAAGGAGGCATCCTATTTCTTTGCTAAATCTGCCCACCGTACCTGGAAGTCCGCCCACTGTGTTAATGTCTGAGCTCGGACTGCATCCTGGACATAGGTCAGGGCTTCTCCATCATGCCTGACTAATGTCTTTTACCTGTAGCTTTGCCCAGTACTCAGCAGGGGCATAGGAAATGCTTGTTGACATCCTTCTGGGAGACAGCAAGTGGAAGAACATCTGAATCCTCACTTTGATGATCACCAGGAGTGTTTCAGACAGGAGGTGGGTCTTACTCTGTCCCAACCTCTGCTCCCACTAAAAACCCACCAGCAGAGTTTTTTTTTTTTTTGAGACGGAGTTTCGCTCTTGTTACCCAGGCTGGAGTGCAATGGCGCGATCTCGGCTCACTGCAATCTCTGCCTCCTGGGTTCAGGCAATTCTCCTGCCTCAGCCTCCCGAGTAGCTGGGATTACAGGCACGTGCCACCATGCCCAGCTAATTTTTTGTATTTTTAGTAGAGACGGGGTTTCACTATGTTGACCGGGATGGTCTCGATCTCTCGACCTCGTGATCCACCCGCCTCGGCCTCCCAAAGTGCTGGGATTACAGGCTTGAGCCACCGCGCCCGGCCGCCAGCAGAGTTTTAATGATAAAGATGTCTAACATCTCTGCCCAATCTGGTTTACTAGGTTAGGGAGGGCCCTGGCCATCTGTAGTTTTGAAAACCCCCCTGGGGATTCTCATGCATAGCAAAGATTGAGACCCCCTGGATTACCAATAAGGAAGAAC